ACTCACCACACACTCACCACACCCCACAACTGCCTCACCCTACACTCACCTCACCCCACAATTGCCTCACCCCACACTTCCTTCGCCCCACTCCCCACTTGCCTCACTCTACACTCACCCCACACTTTCCACACCCCACACTTCCCTCACCTCATACTTCCCTGGCCCCACACATCCCTCACCCCACACATCCCTCACCCCACACATCTCTCACCCCACACTTCCCTCACCTCACACTTCCCTTACCCCACACATTCCTTACCCCACTCCACCCAAAAGGCGAGATGCATAAGATAGTCCGCAACCCAATCATACTACAAACATGCACATACATTGTTTCTGTAGTCAGTCTGCATATGAATTACTGTGGATCAGTGTTTTCTAACCTTTTTAGCCATGAATGAATGTAAACATCTCCATACTTGGTACAGAAATATTATTAAATTGATGCACTGATGCAAAATATTTTATATTTAAACAAGAAACTCAGGCCAGCCGAGAAACATAGTCCTTCCAGCATGTCCTGGGTCTTCCTTTGGGTCTCCTTCCGGTGGGACGTGTGTGGAACACCTCACCAGGGAGGCATCCAGGAGGCATCCTAACAAGATGCCTGAGCCACCTCAACTGGCTCCTCTCAACATGGAGAAGCAGCGGCTCTACTCTGAGTCCCTCCCGGATGACCGAGCTTCTCACCCTATCTCTAAAGGAGAGCCCAGACACCCTGCGGAGAAAAATTATTTTGGCCGCTTGTGGCTGAGATCTCGCTCTTTCGGGTCAACCCAAAGCTCATGACCATAGATGAGGGTAGGAACGTAGATCGATCTGTGAATTGAGAGCTTCGCCTTTTGACTCAGCTCTCTCTTCAACACGACAGACCTGTACAGCGCCCGCTTCACTGCAGACGCTGCACCTATCCGCCTATCGATCTTACACTCCATTTTCCCCTCATTCGTGAACAAGACCCCAAGATACTTGAACTCCTCCACTTGGGGCAGGACCTCCTCCCTGACCCGGTGAGGGCACTCTACCCTTTTCCGGCTCAAGACCATGACCTCGGATTTGGAGGAACTGATCTTCATCCCGGCAGCACGGTGGCGCAACTGGTAGAGCTGCTGCCTCTCAGCGAGCAGGTCCTTGGTTCAAACCCCGGTCCAGGGGCCTTCTGGGTGGAGTTTGCATGTTCTCTCCGTGCATGCGTGGGTTTTCTCCGGGTACTCCGGTTTCCTCCCACAGACCAAAAACATGCATGTTAGGCTGATTGGTAACTCTAAATTGTCCCTAGGTGTGAATGAGAGAGTGAATGGTTGTTTGTCTCGTTTGTCTCTATGTGGCCCTGTGATGGACTTGCGACCCGTCCAGGGTGTACCCTGCCCCTCGCACAGTGATTGCTGGACATGGGCACCGGCGACCCCCGTGACCCAAAATGGAATAAACGGGTAAAGAAAATGGATGGATGGATGGATGGATGGATCTTCATCCCGGCTGTGTTGCACTCGGCTGCGAACCGCTCCAACAAAAGCTCTAGATCACGATCTGATGAATCCAATAAGACCACATCATCTGCAAAAAGCAGAGACGCGATCCTAAGGCCACCAAAATGGATCCCCTCAACACCTTGGCTGTGCCTAGAAATTCTGTCCATAAAAGTTATGAACAGAATCGGTGCCAAAGGGCAATCTTGGCGGAGTTCAACTCTCACTGGGAACAAGCCCAACTTACTGTTGGCAATGTGGACCAGCCTCTGACACCGGTCATACAGGGACCTAACAGCCCATATCAAAGGGCCTGGTACCCCATACTCCCAGAGTACCCTCCACAGGGTTTCCCGAGGGACGCGGTTGAACGCCTTCTCCAAGTCCACAAAGCACGTGTAGGTTGGGCAAACTCCCACGCACCCTCCAGGACCCTGCTGAGAGTGTAGAGCTGGTCCAGTGTTCCACGACCAGGACGAAAACCGCACTGCTCCTCCTGAATCCGAGGTTCGACTATCCGACGAACCCTCCTCTCCAGAACCCCCGAATAGACCTTACCAGGGAGGCTTAAGAGCGTGATTCCCCTGTAGTTGGAACACACTCTACGGTCCCCCTTTTTGAATAGGGGGACCACCAACCCGGTCTGCCAATCCAGGGGAACTTCCCCCGATGTCCACGCAATATTGCAGAGTCGCGTAAGCCAAAGCAACCCTACAACATCCAGAGCCTTAAGGAACTCTGGGCGAATCTCATCCACCCCCGGGGCCCTGCCACCGATTTAAAGTCAACAAAAAGATTTAATATTTTAACACATTTACAGCAAGTTGCTGTAACAGAAAGTGCATTTTTTCTAATTTAATACTCTATACATTATAACGATGCCAGAAGTTATTTGCATTCTACAAAAAATGTAATTCAGAGAATGAGGAGAATTAGAAGTAAAAGCTTGTCTTTTTATAAAAACTTTATAAAAGTTCATGTAAACAAAGGTGAGACAACTAAATGTACTGATTTTTATGATCACTCAACCTACTGGGATCCAAATACATGCTTTTATTTCAGATTAGAGTAATTAAACTTTTTTCTTTTTTTTTTTTTTAACAAATACAGTTCAGACAGTAGGGCTTCATAGCTCAGTGGTTAATTTTAATTAAAGAGGTATAAACTGTGTTGTTGTTTTTTTGTTTGTCTTTATAAAAGTTTGGCATTTTGTTTTGTCCTAAAATGTGAAAACACTGATAAACACTGATAATTCAATTCAGTTTAATTCAGTTTATAGCTTTAAGTCCCAACAGAAGTCGTCTCAGGTCACTGAACAGAAACATTCACATATATTATAAAAAAAAAAACAATTAGTAAATTTCTCTATCTGAGGAAGCAGCAGATTGTGTTGAACCTTCACTTCATCACAGTCTCCCATCCTGAGCAAGCACAAATGAGACGGTGGAAAGGAAAAACTCCCTTTTAACAGGAATAAACTTCCAACAACCAGAATGATAAATCTCAACAGTTTATTTTAGTCATGTAATTTTAGGAAGTAACAAACTCATTCTAAATATCCATCCATCTATTTAGTGTGAGAATAGGCAAATTGGTTTTTGTGACTGTAAAGATTGCTGATCCCAGACTTTGAGGTTATCTGTACTGTGCATCATTTAGTAAAAACAATATTATTTATGGAAAGACATTGCCTCCTCAGCCTGTTGGGTTAAACGTGTCAGCACATCAGTGTGGGCAGATCTCTGAGTCGAGTCAGGCTCTGCAGCTGTGCCCAGGGCCTGTCATTATCTGTGCAACGTGTCATCACTCTGAACTGTTCTGCAGATGTTCCCCGCTTCACCGCACACTGGTGAGATTGATGGAGGAGGAGTGGCTCATATGGGGAAAGACAATTAGAAGCTTGGAGGACACGTGGTTACAATAAGGACAGATTATTCAATGTTTAGGGTGCACTGGGTTGTTTCTCTCTTCACATTTTCTTCATAATGGTACAAGCAGTGCTTCCCCTGCTGTTCTTCACCCTCTGCCTCCGTTATAAATCAGCTGTCTTTTGTTTGGTTTTTCTCTTTAGGAGTACAAAGTGTCCAGCTTTGAGCAGCGCCTGATCAGTGAGATCGAGTTCCGGCTAGAGCGCTCTCCGGTGGAGGAGTCGGATGATGATGTTCAGCACGATGAAGACTCCGCAGGCCAGGGGGTGGGGCCGTCATTTGACCAGAAGCTCAAACACTACAAAGTGTTCGAGGGCATGCCCGTCACTTTTTCCTGCAGTGTTAAAGGAGACCCCAAACCAAAGGTAAACAAGAACGCCTTCACTGAACAAAGCTGGGCATGAATATTTTTTAAGGGACAGGACACGTTGCTTTGGGGCTCTGCTGGTGGTGAACAGAATGTGTGTGTGTGTGTGTGTGTGGGGGGGGGGGGGGGTAAGTGCTATGTGTTGTCATCATTGTATGTTCTCATACAATGACAAAATTAATTATCTGCATTTAACCCACTGCACATGAGATACACCCAGGTGGAGCAGTGGGCAGCTATGTAAGCACATGGGGAGCAGTTAGGGATCAGGTGTTCTGCTCAGAGACACCACGACATGTGGGAATGGCTGAGAATTGAACCTGGGACTTTCGGGTCCCGAGTCGGATGCCCTGCCTCTACCCCATCTCGGCCCCCAAAAAGTGTGTGTGTGCGTGCGTGCATTTGTTTGTTGTGTTTGTTTGTGTTGTGATAAGGTGAGCTGGAACGCACTGCTTTGGTTTGTCTACCTTGCTAAGGACGTACTTATCAGACGATGACAGGGCATCGAAGATTAAACAAAGTTCTGCATTTTTGTTTCACAGGTTTACTGGTTCAAAGATGGCAAGCAGATCTCAAAGATGAGTGAGCACTACAGGATCAGCCGAGACCCAGATGGTACTTGCTCTCTGCACACTGCAGCAGCCTCACTGGATGATGACGGCAACTACACCGTCCTCGCAGCTAACCCAGACGTAAGACACAAACCAAGACACATCATGACAAAGACTAAAATCATCTTAGTTTAATGACACAGACACTTTTGCCAAACCCTAAAACAACTTTATGTGCAATCTTGTGCAATCAAGTAACACTCAGAGCATGTGCTGGGGATGATTCTCAGATACTACCACACATTTTAACTCAAAATTTGTAAATTGAGTTAAAGCCATTTTGTGTTTGGTTTGGTTGAATAGCTGTGACAACCATCTTGAGTCGAGTTTACAGTGCCTCAAAAGTAAATAGTTGTAGAAGTACATCTAATGACTCCATCATCCATCCATCCATCCATTATCTTTATCCGCTTCTTCCTTTTCGGGTCATGAGGGTCACTGGTGCCCATGTCCAGCAATCACTGTGTGAGAGGCAGGGGACACCCTGGACAGGTCTTCAGTCCATCACAGGGACACATAGAGACAAACGAGACAAACAACCATTCACTCTCTTACTCACACCTAGGGACAATTTAGAGTCACCATTCAGCCTAACATGCATGTTTTTGGTCTGTGGGAGGAAACTGGAGTACCTGGAGAAAACCCACGCATGCACGGAGAGAACATGCAAACTCCATCCAGAAAGCCCCCCACCCGCCGGTCAGGATTCAATCCGGCCACTTTCTCACTGAGAGGCGGCAGCTTTACCCACAGAGCCACCATGCCGTCCTACCCAGTTACTCAGTTTTCATCTAAATCTGTTTGGCGGTTCATTGGCTATTTTGCTAACACATACAGACCTGGACAAAAACATTTTGGCCCACCTGTTGATGGTGTGTGATAAAGAGCACAGGCCAGCAGGACAACAGAATCATACTGAGTTCATGGAGGAGAAAGACAAAGGCTTTGATTAAACCAGGAAATGACTAACGCCCTAAAGAAGTCAAGCGTTCACGTTCAACTTGCCATGTCTTATGTCTTCCTGTTTACTTGTGGCCTCTCATCACCTCTGTATTCTTGCTTGTCCTCCCGTTGCAGGGCAGGATTAGCTGCACTGGTAGGATGATGGTGCAGGCAGTAAACCAGCGCGGCCGCAGCCCCCGGATGGCACCTGGACACATGCGAAGGTGAGAGTCCACTGTAACCGAAAAGAAGGTGAACAAAATGTTGGGCATTATTTCAGTCAGGGCATCCAGCTGCTGGCTGGCACGTGTGCAACAAGCTGCACACCAGCTGCACGACTCGTGCTGCTGACATTCCTGCAGAGTCAAACACAAAATGCTACAGGAGGCTCCTCTTTACACAAATCACACTTCGTTCTCCATTAAGTTCAGGGAAGAGCAGCTGATTGTTGATAAGAGGGTCCAGCTGTACTCTGTGTTTTATTGCTTTGATGACCTCATATCAACAGTTCATGCATGCACAGACAGTAAAACATTATCAGACACTCTGATGGCACCTGAAGGAACATAAAAACTGTTCTCAACATGAACACTCCTTGATTAAACAAGAGCTCAGAACTGTTTTGAGTGAGAAGACATCCAGATAACAATCATTGTATCTCACTCTTCTTGGCTCACATGCAGGTGAGGAGCTCATGTCAGCTGATGTGAGGAGGAGTTATAAAAACTCCTGAAGGTCCAGAGCTGCTGGGATGAACTTTTAAGAAAGTTTTATTATTGCCAAAATAACCTTGTGATGCAAAATCAATGGTGATGTAAATGTTTCTAAAATCTTGTTCACAAAAACTGTTAAAAAAATTAAGAGTGGTGTCTGTTCGGTCTTTGACCCCCTCAGACTACGTGTTAAGTAATCAATTCAGTCCGAGACTCTATCAGTGTACCCAACAAAGTTGTCAGGTCCTTTGAACAGTTTCTCTTTGTTGAAATGTTCCATCTTTCATCCAAAAGACTTCATCAGTCCGAGGAGCCACAACAAACTCAGTCTTATAAATAACACCTTCACTTAGTGGATCAATCAGTTTGATGGTGCTCAGAGGGTTTCTGGAGTCCGCTCTCTCCCCCGCCTACTCGTTTGAGGCAGTCATGGCCAAAGTACTTCAAAATATCCTGATTCATGCTCAGTAATCCAGGTAGAAAACCCAGCAAAGTTAAGTCACTTGACTCATGATTCAACTTTGTTGGATTTTTCTACCTGAATTATTGAGCATGAACCTTGATACCTCTCAATGTACCAGAAGTTCAAATTTAATTCCAAGTCTGTCCCTCTGTCAGGCCCAGGTCCAGGTCCAGAGACAGTGGCGATGAGAACGACAACATCCAAGAGCGTCACTTCCGGCCCCACTTCCTGCAGGCACCTGGTGACCTCATCGTCCAGGAGGGCCGCTTGTGTCGGATGGACTGTAAGGTAATTAAACCATTAAACTGGATCAGCCTTGTGGAGGTGACCACGGTGCACTGTTAATGTAAAACAACCTTATTTAAACAGCCATCATGCTTAAATAATGGTCTTGAAATAAATATAAACTAATAAATATGATTAAGTAATGAAACTATTGTAATTTAAATCTGTTATCTTTAGCATCAAGCTGCTTCCACTGGTGAAAATAAAAGATGATATGGGGAGATTTTTGAGTTTTTCATCAGCATTCACAAAATATGTGTTAATCTAAAGGAACACTTAACCTGGAGAAATAGAAAATGATTGTGTAAAATGAGAACAGCAATTCTCTTTAGCCAAATAGACTTCCACTTAAAACAAAAAACATTTGAATAGTTCATCAGATTAAAATTGTACCTAATTTACGTGGCATCCTTCTGCCATGCTGCGTCTTGTAATAAAGTAAAGATGCTTTAAAAAATATCTGAGACATAACTGAGAAGGAAAAAGCTCAAAGCAATGACAAAAAATGTTAATCATAGGAGTACAGAAACCATTTGAGATCCACCCTTTAATTCAGTGTCTGGTCTGCTCCGAGCGAAGCTCAGTAGCTGCAGCTGCAGCTTCTTTAGGGAAAATAATCTCAAACTGGCAGAGAGGAGAAGTCTCATCAACGGTCTGAACAGAGAAAACAGATGTGACGTTTTTCAACAACTATAACAGCTGACTCATTTTCTCTTTTTGTTTACTCTGTCTTCTCTTCACAGGCCTGAACTGAATTTAAAACTTGAAAAACTGAGACATGCAACAAAAGTAAATGGATCAACAAATTCACTGTAAAATAAAAAAAGAGTTATGAGAGAGCCCACGATGTTGAAAACATTTATAACAAACCAGAATTCCTACACAGTTTTGAAAAGTCTGAAATTTGGTTTTAGTATTTTCCAGGTCTAAATAAATGCGTAAAAAAAAAGAACAGAGTATGGACTCTATGGGTTCCATGACTTTTGTTGCTATGTTTCTATTGCATTTTCTAAAAAAGTTTTTTTTTATGTTTGTTTATTTGTATGCAGGTTAACACAAAGTCAACAATGAATGAAAACACATATACAGAATGAGAAGAACCTATTTGACTCACTACAAAACCCCCAAAAATACTGAATCATGCAATAAGGGTACAAAATAAAGTAAGAAAAAGTGAAAAAGAAATATATTATTTAAAAAATACGAAAGAAATATAGTTAACAACATGGTAGAATATAACGGTGCACGTAGGATGAATTTGTATAAACAAGTATTTCACAGGTAGTAGGAGAGATCATATCTCTCTAGTTTTAGACTTCTTAAGTCTGAAGAAAGATAAAAGAAAGACTTAGAAGTCTTTCGGATGAAAGATGAAACGTTTTTACAATTTTTTGTTTTGTTTTTAAACCCGTCCAGAGGACCTGACTTAACTTTTTTTAGGTGTTCCAGGATAGTTTGATTCCAACAACTAAAGTTGTAAAATCACCTGAGTGAGTGACTCAAACAGGCTGTAAATGCACATGATAAGCTCTCAGGAATTGGTTTCTCAGATCATACTATTGGTTGGTTCTCTAATTATCTCTCAGATCGGAGGCAATGTGTTCAACATAATGGTAATTCTTCCAGTTATCTAACTGTTAACAATGGTGTACCACAAGGATCAGTCTTAAGACACACCCTCTTTACAATCTACATAGGTAATGTAGGTCAGATCATTCCTGATGAATCCTTACATTTCTATGCCAACAACATAGTTGTTTACTATCGAGCTAGAATGGTTGCTAAGATTTTCAAGCTTTTGTAATCTGCTTTTGATATCATCCAGTCAGATTTGTTCCATCTCAAATTGGTGCTAAATGTTGATAAAATCAAAGGGATGTTGTTTTAAAACAGGAAGTCTGTATCAGCAGTCCTTCCTTCTATTGTATCTACAAATGGTGTTCCTATTGAGTTGGTCGATTCTTATAAATATTTGGATATTGTGGTCGATTCACCTCTCTCTTTTAAGCCTCATGTCAAAACCTTGGTAAAGAAATTGAAAGTTAAACTGGGTTTCTTTTTCAGAAATAGATCCTGTCTAACTCTGAATGCTAGGAAACACCTTGTAACTGCAACTTTCCTTCTCTCCATTGGCTATGGAGACATTATTTACATGAACGCGCCTACAGGCACCTTGTAGATGTTGGATGCTGTCTATCACAGTGCGTGAAGATTCATAACTGGCTGTAACTACCGTACCCACCACTGCACCCTGTATTCACTGGTTAACTGGTCATTATTAACTTCACACAGACTCTCTCACTGGTACATTTTCATCTTTAAATCACTTCTTGGTCTGCTGCCTTCATACATCTCCTCCTACATGTCTCTGCGTGAGTGCAGCTACAGCGTGCGCTCTCAAGACATTATTACCTGCAGTGTTCCCTCAGTGCAGAATGAACTTGGCAAAAGGACCTTCTCCTACTCCACTCCTGTTTCCTGGAATATCTTGTAAAAAGATCTGAAGCTCTCGACCATGACATCTCTAAGTGGCTTTAAACATCTGTTAAGTTCCTGGCAAAAACCAATGCAGACATGTTCCTGTTATTAGTTTTCTTCATTGCTTTACAATCTAGTCCTCAATGACTATAGACCTGTTGCCCTGACATCCCACATCATGAAGGTCCTAGAGAGACTTCTGTTGGCCCACCTGACTAAACAAACAAGCACATATCAGGACCCACTGCAGTTTGCTTATCAGCGTGGACTTGTAGTTGAAGATGCCATCATACACCTGCTTCAGCAAACTCACTGTCATCTAGAAAAGGCAGACAGCCCTGTGAGAGTCATGTTCTTTGATTTCTCCAGTGCATTTAACACAATCCAGCCTGATTTGCTTTGTCAGAAACTCCAGAAGACTCAGGTGGAGACCTCAACAATCACCTGGATCAAAGTCTACCTGACAAACAGACCACAGTTTGTGAAACTGAAGGGTTGTGTGTCTAACTCTGTACACCTCAGATTTCCAGTACAAAATAGAATCCTGTCATCTGCAGAAATAGTCAGATGACTCTGCAGTGGTCAGGTGTATCAGAGATGGACAAGAAGCTGAGTTCAGAGAACTGGTGGACCACTTTGTGGCATGGTGTGGAAGCAATCATCTCATCTTGAATGTGAACAAAACAAAGGAGATGATTGTAGATTTCAGGAGTGTAATGAGAGATAATATGCGTCTGATATTATCCTTTATTTAAACGGATTCTTTCATTTTTCTGGACTGAGTACTATCGTGCCTTGAATGATTAAATGTGGACGGAAACGTGTTTAAATTTCTGGCTCACCAACAACAGTGAGCCGTTTAATTAAAAACGATTTAAAACACATCACACATTTACATTAATTGACAGATTGATTACAATTAACACAGCTTAATTAATGAGCTTTACAATGAGAAATCATACAGCCATGATTTCTTACTTGCAACTGAAATACAACAGACATTTCTGAAAATATCTGGATTAATTACTGGCAGATAGAAGAGTTTTAAAGATGGGGAAATGAAGTTTAAATGGAGAGAGATGGGTGAGGGAAGGTGTCTGTATAACCAGATCAGCACGCTCCTTTGGACGCAGCTTAACCCACGGTACACTCGCAAGTGAAGATCGACTCTTTTACCTTTGCAGACGATAGTTTCGGCTCCGGTGTAGAGTTTTCTTTCAACTCTTTTCAGCGTCTCCGTAAGAACAGCTGTGACCTCAGGAGTCGTGAGAGTACTTCGTTCAACAGCACGCTCACCTCCCAGGTGGACTCACATGAGCTGTGAGCCCGTCAGAGTTCCACTCAGATGTGGAAGATTCCATAATCCCCACGAGACTCGAAAGAACTCCCAACTAACTCCAGCACTTCAGAACTTTCGTTCGGTTCTGCTCTCAGAACTTTGGTTCATGTCTGGAACGTTGTTCAGCTTGGAACTTTGTTCTGCTCTGGAACTTGTTCTGCTTGGAACTAGGAAGTGTTGACCCTTTTAAAGAGGTCACTTCCGGTTCCTCTGAGAACTTCCTGATTGGTTGAACGAACCAACCGGGGTGTGGTTTTAGTGACGTCAGAGGTTATTACAAGTCAAGGAGACAGAGTAGATTGTTTTAAGAACAGACAGAAAGATGTTTTGAAGAAACAGAGACATTTAGGAGCCAGTCTCCTTCTATCTATCTGAGAGAGTTAAACATGACATTTCGTTCCGATAAACATGTTTTTGACCGTTCCTTCACTTTTGACCGACTCACTCCTTCTCATTTCAGACAGATGATCAAAAATGCATCATTACTCTTGTAACAGACATTAACTTGATTTCTACTTTGAATGAGGATTAAAAATCATTTATACTGTTTCACAGTTGATTTAAAATGAGTAGTTCACTTCAACATTTAAAAATGATTTGAACTAAACACACTTTGATTATCAAGATATTGTAAAATAGTAATGATAATGAAAAGAGAGTGTTCTTTCAAATGACCAGTGCAGGACACACTCAGAAAGTCTCTGGATGAGCTTAATTTGTGTTTCTGGACTCAAATCAATGAAATAACAGTTCCTGTTCCAGGAAGGCCCTCAGGGTCAGGTTTTTGACCTGAGGCTTAGTTCACTACAGGAGAAACAGGAACAGGTCCAACCCTATTTCTATCATGGGAGAAGAAGTGGAGGTGGTGGAGAAGTATAAATACCTTGAGGTTCACCTGGACAACAGACTGGACTGGAAATGCAACAGTGAAGTGTCTACAAGAAGGGACAGAGCAGACTGTACTTCTTGAGGAAGCTTAAGTCCTTCAATGTTTGCAGCAAGATGCTGCATATCTTCTATAAGTCTGTTGTAGAGAGTGTCATCTCTTCTGCCATCATCTGCTGGGGGAGCAGCACCAGAGCAAGTGACTTAAAAAAGATCAACAAGTTCATAAAGAAGGCTGGCTCAGTTCTGGGGACTCCTCTAGAACCTTTGGAGATGATTGTACAAAGAAGGATTCTTCATAACATGAAGAACATTATAGACAACCCTCAGCATCCTCTTCATCAGACTGTCATACAACAACAGAGTGTCTTCAGTCAGAGACTTCTACAGATCTGTTGTAAGACAGACCGCTACAAGAGATCCTTCCTGCCCACAGACATCATCATCTTTAACAACTCTTTAATGAAACCAGGGTGATGAGTTACAACATTTAATTTCCCTTTGGGATTAATAAAATATTTTTTTAATTGAATTGAACTGAACTGAATTGAATCACAAGTATACATTTACAGAAGGTTTGTGCGATATTCCAAGAAATGAAGCAAGGAGACATTTTTGGATTGAACATACGAAATAGGCTTACAACTATACCAAACATGAAAAGGAAGAAAAAGCTTGGAAAAGTCTTCCAGACAACATGGATGGAGGAAAACAAATTCACTTCATATTGCACCTGTTTCATTGTTTTCACTAAGTCCATACTGACCTCTGGAAACCAAGCACCATACAGACACAACTGTGAACCCCACATTACTTCTAATACTAGTTTTTTATATGATTGTATAATTGTAGATAATTAAACATAGAAATATTCAACTTTTATGTCAAACGGTGACCAAGTGGTGCTTCTTTTTAACAAAAGAACTTCATGGAACTAATAGAAGAGATAACAACTGCTGTTGATCAAAAACAGTATTGTGTTAGCGTTTTTGTGGATTTAAAAAAGGCCTTTGACACTACTGACCACACCATTCTCCTTGAAAAACTGAATAAATATGGCATTAGAGGATTGGCACTACAGGGGGTATCAAGTTATTTGAATAATAGGAGACAGTTTATACAGGTAAAGATGTAAGATCTGAATTTTGTGTTAATGGATGTGGAGTTCCTCAGGGCTCTGTGTTGGGACAAAGTTGTTAATTTTGTATGTGAATGATCTGGTTGATGTGTCAGGACTTTTGTGTTTTATTTGCAGATGATCCCACATTTTTTGTTTTGGGTGAAGATATTGAACGGATGTTAGAGATGATACAGGCAGAATTTGTAAAAATACAAACTTGGTTCCAACTTAAGTTATCATTTAATTTGGAAAAAACAAACTACATGATATTTAGTAATAGAAAAAAAATATTGAAATCCCATTTGAAATTGACAGTATTGAAATTCATAGTTAATGAAATAACATTTTGGGTGTCGTTATTGATGAGAAGCTGACATGGAAATCTCATGTAAATATCTAAGAATAAAAATAGCAAAATCAATTGCATTACTGTATAAAGTAAAATAGTTTTTGAATGATGAAGCTTTGTATATATTGTATAATGTAATGATTGTTCCATATTTAATCTATTGTATTGAAGTTTGGGGAAAAGCATGCAAAACAATTACAAACCCTATTTTTATTTTACAAAAAAAGCTATAAGAATTATTATTATGAAGTGCTATGGTCACCCAACATATATATTATTTCATCAGTTGAAATTATTAAAATTTTACGATTTGGTTGAAAATAGTATTTTACAAGTCATGTATAAAGCTCATAAAAAATATTACCCCCAAATATTCAATCAAAATTTGTTAAAAAATAATAAAAAAGAGAGTCAATATGACCTTAAGGGAATGGAAATGTTTGTAAAACCTCCATTTAGAACTGGTCTGAAGGAGCTGTGTTGTAATTCAGGGAACAGGATGTGGAATTGCTCTATCTCAATAAAAATTTCTAAAACAATTTATATGTTTAAAAAATTGATTAAGTTAAAATTGTTTAGAAAGTATGATACTATGTGAAGGATATCTAATATTTTTTGTTTGCACTTTGGAGATTGTTCAGCCCTAAGTTGTTGTTTGTTTGTAGGTTTTTTCTATTTTTTTAACTAAGGGGCAGATATAAGAATTTTCTTCTTTCTGCACCATTTTCATTCAATGTTTTTTTCTTTTTGATGAATTAGTTTTGTTCCTTTTAAATGAATGAATTAATAAAAATAAATTTTAAAATGTTTTAGCATCAGAAGAGCTCAAGAGTCTACAAACATTTTTGAAACTTAGCATCTAGAAAAGTCTGGAGTTTTCTAAAAGAAAATTGGCAGACGTTTGATCACAGATCATTTGTGGCTTACACAAGTTTCCATCCTGGAAATATCCTGACTAATAAGCATGTGTGGACTCACGTCCAGATAGCTTATCTCTTCATGGTCCTTCTGTGTTTCTATGAATGCTGCAGCACATTTGGACCTGTAATATAAGCTGTTTACTGTGGCACAGTTTCCAGGTGGGCAGGCTCCAACAGACTAGGTGTTGGGTTTCCGCCCCTCAGAAAGAGACGGGTTTTTCCTCTTTTCACTTTATTCCCATGACAAAGCACTGCAGGGAACTGGGCTCAGCCCTCAGAGGACACAAGCAAATATTTACTATTAAAAAAAAAAAAAGAGCACAAACTGCACAATCATGACTCCTTGAACAGGTCAGATGATTCACACAGTCACTGTTTTTCTTAATCCTCCTGCAGGTGAGTGGCCTTCCCACCCCTGACCTCATCTGGCAGCTGAACGAACAGACCATTCGCCCTGACTCTGCCCACAAGATGCTGGTGAGGGAAAACGGTGTGCACTCGCTCGTCATTGAGCCCGTGACGAGCCGTGACGCAGGCATCTACACCTGCATTGCCAGCAACCGAGCTGGCCAGAACTCATTCAACCTGGAGCTCATTGTTGCAGGTAAACACAAAGCTGCACTCAACAGCTCTCATGTTTTATTCTCATGGTGCAGCTCAGTAACAGACTCTCTCCCTCCCCCACAGCTAAAGAGATGCACAAGGCACCTTCATTCATTGAGAAGCTGCAGAACACGAGCGTTGCTGAGGGACATCCTGTGCGACTGGAGTGCCGGGTGGCTGGGGTTCCCCACCCACAGATCTTTTGGAAGAGGGAGAATGAGTCATTCACTCACAACACTGACAGAATCAGGTAAATCAGTCAGTTTTTTCAAGCTTTTCTCTATATTTACACCCAACCCCCAGATAATAAAGTAAATGCTCCTTTCCCAGCATGCACCAGGACAACTGCGGGTACCTGTGCATGATAATCCAGCCAGCTCTGAAAGAAGACGCCGGCTGGTACACCGTCTCTGCCAAGAACGATGCCGGCATCATATCTAGCACCGCTCGCCTCGACATTCACGGTACGTTCAAACTGCTCAGTGACTCCAACAGTATCTGTGTGGCGTTCACTGACCCCCCACACCTACCTTCATCATTTTATCCTCCTTTGTCCTCAGCTCAGTGGCAGCAGCCAAACCGCCCCAAGCCCAAGAAGGTGCGTCCCTCCACCAGTCGCTATGCCGCGCTGACGGAGCGAGGACTGGATGTGAAGGCGGCCTTCTTTCCTGACTCCAGCCCGCTGCAGCCTGACGGCCTGGTGGAAAGTGATGACCTGTAAAGTTTGCACACGGACCTACAACATCCCCGAAAGCTGCCCTTGATTCCAGCACTCCTGACACGCACTTAAAAACACAACAGGCTGAAACTCGTCTACCACTACTGAACCACAGGTACAAGAAGAAAGTGTCGGTGAGCCGAGGGCGACCAAGCAGCTTTGGTTTTCATACATTATAACCCCCCACTACACACACACACACACACACACACACACAACTATTATAGAACAAAACTCATCAAGTTGACCTGGAAAATGACTGAAGTGCTTACGATCAAAGATTTGTTCAGAAATACAAACTGCTGCCCAATAAAGTGCCTCTCATTTGTGTAAAGATGAAACGATGCAACATCGACTCACTGTGCATGTTCAAGTGGTGCCACGTGCACGGACTGTACCCGTAGGTAGCACTTTTCACCAGGATGTGTAGAGGACGGTTTGTGTGGCTCAGTACGGATGTATCGGCTCCGGTGATAGATTCAAGGTACTGGAAAAGTCCGGGCCATGTGAACCTTGCGATTCATGTAAGGAAGACGAAGGTCGTGTCTGAGCACAAGTTCCAGAAAGTTTGTCAGGAAGTGAAACGCAGGTTGAGAATAGAGGAACGTTGGTGATGATGGCTCATTTATTATCTTCTGTTTAACTTTTAGAGGAGTGAAATAAAAGTATTGTCACTCAAAGAAAAGTGCTGTGAACGTGTGTTTCTTACACACAACACAAACCTTTAGTTTTATTTTTGTATGAAAAACAGACGCTCAACAAACAAGACTTAAATTATATTTCTGGTCATTCAAGGATCCTGACTGGAAAATAAAAGTTTTAAAATGTATTTACTACCTTAAATTACTTCAGTTTAACACTTTTCTTCTTTGCATGTTACTTTTTGGACACTTGTATAGTGCCAAACATCTTTATCTGGATGTAGAAAAACACAACCAAAAATCAAAACATTTGCAAGTTTAAATATATTTATATATTATTTCTTTTTGTCTCTGTAGAAGTCATTTGTCTTTGTTTAGTGTTCATCAGCTGATCTTTCAGTGCTGGCACAGTTTGATGCCAATCAATGCCTGTTTATGGATTGTTATTTTATTTCAGAACTGTAATAAAATACAAACTCGAGAAATGGCGTGATTTTCTTTTCTTTTTCTAAATCTATGAGTCTTTCAAAACATGGAGCACCAAAACACTTTCAATTGAACAGAGCATGTTTAAAATCCTACAATTGTGGGGAAAGAAGGTTTTACATAACAAGACATAATCAAAATAATCAGGTTCTGAGACTTCGTGTCCAAACACTCAGCAGATTCCATCATGTCATGTTTTGTTGAACTAAAAGCCCAAACTCTGTAATGACCTTACAGTGAGGAAGATTATACACATTTAAGACCAGTCTTCCCAGGAGTCCCTGCAGATCCCCACAAGTTGGGGATCTGCAATGCTCAGAAAAATAAAATCCAAGAACTCCATATCAGACTGCACAGGCCTCAGTTAGCAGGTTAGAGGTTAAAGTTCATGACTAATGTGTTGGTGGGACCTTGAGAGAGCTGTGCAAATACTAATGTCTGCAAACCTCAATGAACTGAAGCAATGTTGTAAAGAGGAGTGGGCTAAAATTCTTCCACAACCATGTAGACATGAAGTCATACAGAAGACCGCTTGGAGTCATTGTTGCTTAACAAGGTCCTACAAGCTGCTGGGCTTGGTGTTTCACACCACTTATTTTATCTTGGCTTCATTTCTGTTTAAGAAATGTTGAGATGGTGGAATCTGCTTCTTTTTTTTTTTTTTTCCACTGAGCTCAAAGTTGAAATATTTTAGAACCACAACATTATGATGATGCTTTGATACATGAATTGACGCAGGGTGGACATCAGGAGAGAAAATGTATTTTTTTATTTATGTATGTACAGAACGTTTTAGAGAAGAAGAGAAGCTCTTCAGAACTCATCATTACACGTGACAGTCACCTTTGACCATGTCAGGTCCTAAAAACTGGAATTGGACACAAAAACATTCCCAGAACTAGAAACACCTCCAGCAGCACCTCTAATTCCCTCCAGCTGTAGCCCTGCATGCCTGGCCCCAGCAGAGGTGTGTGTGTGTGTGTGTGTGTGTGTGTGTGTGTGTGTGTGTGTGTGTGGGTGTGTGTGTGTGTGTGTGTGTGTGTGTGTGTGTGTGTGTGTGTGTGTGTGTGTGCGTGCGTGTGTGTGTGAGTGCGTGTGTGTGTGTGTTGGCTCTGAGGGGATCTCCTGAGGGAAGTGGAGAAACCCTCGACGGTCATGGAAAAAGACCAACAGTTAAATCTTGGGATCAAGTTTAGGAGCGTGAGGCCATGGGGGTCTGGACTGAGCCAGACACTTTGGAGTCAGCAGCGTTAGTCATGACGGACTGTCACACATGCCTGAACACACCCTCTGTGGCTGCACAGGGTGACTCAGCAGGAAGCCTTCTTGTTCTTCTGATGTCTTTAACATCTGTCGTTCTGTTAAAGCGTAGTTCTCCTCTGCCAGAATGATGCTGATTGGATCAGATGTGAAACAGCTCCTGAGGGAACACCCCCCTACATGACCAGCTGCAGCCCTCCGTCCACCACCAGCACCTGTCCTGTAACGTAGGAGGCCTCCAGCAGGAAGAGAACAGCCTGGGCCACCTCCTCCGGCGTGCCGAACCTCGCCAGAGGGACGGCGCGAGCTCTGTCCTCCTCCCTCAGCCCTGCCGTCATGTCTGTGTGGATGAAACCTAAAAGACAGACCAAAGCAAGAAGAAATGCATATCTGCCTTTCATGCTAGAGGTTTAAACTAATATTATGTCATGATGACCACATACAGACCACGTCATTTGTTAGCACTCAGAGTATGTGTTGGGAATGACTCTCAGTTATTCTCACAACAAATAATATATCAACATCTGTTAAGCTGACTAATTATAAACATTGTTGTGTTTTCTAAAATAAGTTGCCTGTGATGGCCATCTTGAATGGGTCGACTCCAACCCGTCCTTTGCTTTATGAGACAATTTGCTAACAGAAAGACACATGCGTGCACATTATTGCCCCGTCTCTTGCCTTGTGGCAGCGGGCAATAATGGCAGCTGCTCAGAGAACAGAGACCAAGGTGAAACACTTTCAGTCATGAAGGTGCTACCTGGAGCTACCAGGTTGACTCGAACGTTGCGTGAAGCGACTTCTTTAGCCAGAGAGCGAGTGAAGCCCTCTAACGCAGCTTTCGAGGCGCTGTACACACACTGACCTGCATTTCCTTTCAGGCCCACCACAGAACCTGCAAACAAACACAAATCCATTCAAAAGACTTCTGATGTGCTGGAAACATCAGTTTATTACTAATCTCTGTTCTGTGCTTTGAGGGTCAAATCAGCTGTATTTCAAAACCCAACACGCGGAAGTATACGCGTGCACGTGACGAGTCACTGTGCACATTGAACAAGACAAACACCTCAAAACAATTATTTGTTTGCTTGAAATTATTATTAAACGGGTGTATCAATCTAACGTTTGCTTAATAAATGCACAACTATGGTCAAATCAGCTGAATTTTAAAAAATAGTTTCACTGCCCCGGTGTTGAAAAGCGGGCACACGCAGCTGGGGCAGCCGCTGTATTTCTTTAACATTTAACAAGATAACCAGAGAGCCAGGGCCTGCAGGCTTGTCTTTGAGCAGAGATCCAGAAATGACTTGTGGACTTGGTTTGGGGATCTTGGTGGTGGTCTTGGTGCAAGCAGAACATGTATGTTGTCTCTGGACTAAAGGAGCTCAGAGCTTCCAGAGCAGCAACCCACATGTTGGCTTCCCACCACCAGACAGCAGCCTGATCAAATCTGGCAGCTATCCCCAGGATCGAGTCAGACAAGGCTTCATTTCTCAAAGCTCTGTCCAAAGCAGGAGCTCCAACACTGGTCCTGCAGTTCCCAGTGGTTCTGGTCCAGGACTCTCTACTAGGAGCTCTACACAAGCTGTATCCCAGAGTTCATTTAGACTGAAGAGCAGCTCTGCAGCCAAAGCGAACATGCAAAGGTTGTTGTCACCCAGGGCTGATGCTCCAAAAGCAGCAAGGCAGTCGTTCCACCCTTCTGCTGGTGGACCTTCAGTGAGTCTGAACCAGAAGAACCCCTCTATCAATGGAAGAAACTGGCCTGCTCTGTGGGGGATGCAGCGTCCTAGCAAGAATCTCATTTTGGCTTCCAGACCAACGTTCTCCTTCAGACCTGCACCACGTCAACCTTCCAGGGCTGCTGCAGTCCGTTTCAGCGAGGTGGGCTCCTCTTCTCGTCTGTTTGGCCCAGTTGCTCCTGGACAACGTGGACGCCCTGTACTGATGCAGACGTATGCCCGCGGTCCTGCTAAAAGGGTGTTCTCAAAACGTAGATCTGAAGGACAGAAGGCCAGGAGGTTCTCTCCTCACACCCAGGCTTGGAAACCCTCTGTGGGTCCTCAAGGAGGATCCAGACCCAAAAGCTGGTTGCAGACCTACAAAACCAGCAAACATCTGGCTGTCCCCAGGAGCAGCACTGTGGGAGCAGGGTTTTTCTTTGGCTACAGTTTACGAGATCCCTGCAACCTTTGGTGGCTTTGCTATCAGACGTCTGAAATGACCTTCTTACTAGAACCAAGTGACTGTCCAGAAGCAGCAGCTTCAGATCCCTTCAGCTGCTCCTTGGTAGATGGTGGCACCAGTCCCTACGCTCAAAAGGTTAATCTAGAGGCTGGTTGGACCAGGATCAAGCTGCAGCAGAGTGAATGTTTCTAATGTCTCCAAAAAGTGTTAATCTATTTTAAACGTCTTTAAATAAAATTTACTTTTTTACTGAAAAAAAAACAAAACAAAAAAAAAACAAGATAACCACCTAACAAATTATTTGTTTGCTCGAAATTATAGCAAAGATGTGTCTCAGTCTACCATTTGCTTAATAAATGTACTTTAATTGTCAAATCAGCTGTATTTCAAAAATAGTTTTGCTGCCTTGGTGCTCAGTGAATGCGCAGAGGAAGAGAAAAGGGAGGAGGAAGGTAGCTCGTTTCTCCAAAAATTAACAAGAAAAGAACCTAAACAATTGTTTTTTTTGCTCGAAATTATAGCAAAGGTGTGTCATTCTAACATTTGCTTAATAAATGCACTTTAAATGGTTAAATGGTCAAATTAGCTGCATTTCGCTGCGGTGGTGCAGCTGTTTTGACGGTTCCAAGCAGTGAGCAGAATGCAGGTGGGGAGACTAGGGCAAGCCGATTGTCTCATTAATAGCTGGTGAAGATTCTCAGTCATCCAGGACATGGTAAATTCAAAAAAGTTTAAGAAAAAAAAAAACAAAGTGATGTATAATAAGAAAAGTCCAGTTGTTTTTGTCTTGAACTTTTTGGCATGTGTCATTATAGCCAAGTTTACCTATTACAAGATACAACAGCAAGCCATAAAACTATTACTACTCTGCTGCCATCAAGTGGCTGAAAGTGGTACTGCTCATTTTTTTTCAGTTCGAATTAATGCAAACTGTCATATCTCAGCCAAAAAATAAATGGTTTATAAATATGTGAAAAAATCCATAAATATGTCACTTCAGCCAAGTCGCAGGCCATGTAAATTATGCAACAACAAAAAAGGCGACTTATAGGCCGAAAAGTACGGTACCTATATTGACCACTGCAGCTCCCTGCATGTGCAGCATGCTGCGCAAAGCTGCCCTGCAGGTCAGCATGGAGCCCAGCAGATTGGTGTGCAGCAGGGAAATCATGTCTTCAGGCTTGGTCCTCACTAACAGAGCATCCCTGGTGACACAATTATAAACAGCATAAAACTTGCAGCAACACAACAACAAGAGACAACACATTTGGCTGCTCACCTGTTGATGCCGGCTGCATTCACGAGGTAGGAGATGTTTCCACACATTCTCTGGATCATCTCAAAGGTTTTCTGCACCTCCTCCCCTTTAGAGATGTCACAGCTGAAAGCTTTGTGGTCAGCTACACACCAACACACACATTACATACACTTAAACACACAAGTCTGATCCTAGCTTCTAATTACTTCCAGTTTCTAATGACTTAAATTCATATTGGGCTGAAAATAATTTATTACCATTCTATTATTACACAGTACAAAGATAAACTTAGAAATGCTTAAACAAATACAAGCATTCTTCAAGCCTAAAATATCTCAGCCACCTTTCAGGACATCTCAAACTCTCATCTATGGCATGACATGGAGACGTTGTAGCTGTTTTTGTCAAACCTTAAAAATCAGGTTATGCACAATGTCATGATCAGATTATGTTTTGTGGTTGACTCTTTTCTGCTACAATATCAAATTTTAGCTCAATATCTGTACACTTGACTGTTGACTAATGTTCATTAGCTGGGGTGATTGAATTATCCATCCATCCATCCATTATCTTTACCCGTTTATTCCATTTTGGGTCACGGGGGTCGCCGGTGCCCATGTCCAGCAATCACTGTGCAAGGGGCGGGGTACACCCTGGACGGGTCGCAAGTCCATCACAGGGACACATAGAGACAAACGAGACAAACAACCATTCACTCCCTCACTCACACCTAGGGACAATTTAGAGTTACCAATCAGCCTAACATGCTTGTTTTTGGTCTGTGGGAGGAAACCGGAGCACCCGGAGAAAACCTACGCATGCACGGACAGAACATGCAAACTCCACCCAGAAAGGCCCCTGGACCGGGGTTTGAACCAGGGACCTGCTTGCTGAGAGGCAGCATTTCTATTTCATATAGGCTTCGCCCTTTAAGGCCTTCGCTTAGTGGGTTTATCCCGATATGCAAAACATCGCACTGAAAAATTTAGTCCACGCCCACCTGCTGTGTGGGCCCCACCCGGTCCGTATAAATTACGTTAAGAGCGGGAAATCAGCTCCCATTTTTTCTTCAGCAAGCTAATAGCACTGTCAGAAGAACGAAGAAGGAAAGTTGTGTAGATGACCAACCTTTGTTAAGAATGCTTGGCCCGGCAGTTGACCTCCGGTCGTCCGGTGAGTTCTCCTCCCCGAGGAGAAGCTGACGAGCAGTCTTGTTTCAAGGTAAGCGCCGAGGAATATTTCTCAGTGACAGGTCGCTACACGCTGGACAACGCCATCTTGTAATTTTCCTCTTATCGCCGACCCTCGGAGCGAATCGGATGGTTCCTCTGGGACAGGCGGCGCTCAGCTGCAGCCCCCCGCTGCTCATTCCCTCCTGGAGAGCGTAGTGTCGGTGGAGGGGGGCTGAGTGAATGCTCACCCCATCCCACCTCGTTTCGCATCGGTGATCACACCGCTCCCGGCCGACGGCGCCCTCTGGGGTTGCCCGGCGTAACCCAGGAGGCGGCTGACATGAAGGGACCTTTTTTACGTCCCACGCCTTTTCCCGCCAGTTCGGATGATCCGGCGGGAAGGTTGTTTTTACTAGGTTCCATTCCGGCTCACCGTCTTGATCCATCTGGCCTCGTTTTCCCAACAGGACGTCCTACGGGTGAGGCCACAAACGTTTTTTTTCCTGGTAGATTGGGGGGCTCCACAGTCCGCACCCATCTCCAGAGTAGGGGTTTACTGAGCAGAAAGTCCCTCTGTGCCCCCTGGAGCCAAGCCTGACGGAGGCTTCATTGGAGCAAGATGTTGAGGTGGACCAGCATCCCGTGCCTCCGGTTAGCGTAACCGAGACGGTGACACCGCTCTCCAACTGAGCTCACCAGCATGTGTTCCACACGGCCGCAGCGAACAACACGTTACGCTGTTGGCGTACACGTTCAAAGGCGGGAAGAGACGGTGGACCCCTCTGACCTTCGGCTCGCTCCGCTCTCGTAGTGGCTGCTTGCTAACGACGCTGTCGGCCCCTGCAGTACGCTCCGTCTACAGGGCAGCTGACGTCATCCCCAACCGGTGCGCCTCTTTTACTGTCTGCCGCCCCGCATCGCAGCTGGAAAACGAGGTCCCAGAGGCTCTCCTGGCTCGTCACTCCACCTTCCTCTCAGGAGAGCTGCAGGAGCTTGTTGGAGGTCCTCTTTTCATCAGCAAGAGATCATTTCAAGATGCTCCACGGCTGTACAACACCTCCCCAGCTCTGCTACGCCAGCCCCTCCCGTCAGACGTCCCCGGCATCCGGAAGTTCATTTTTTCCCGGACTTTGCCAACAGGGGGCCCTCCAGGACAACAAACAGAGCTCAAGGGAGGATAACCAGGTGTCGGTTTGCTGGAGGTGTGTTGATGACACGATGTGAAACAAACATCATTTTATGATGAAGTGTCTTTTAGCCAGGCTGTCAGCATGGATTATCTGACAAGCGGCCCCATCACACACACTCATCACCAATGAGCCTTTTAAGGTTGTTTTCATTCACTGCCAGCGGTGCCAACACGCGCTTCCACGGCATGAAAGCGCACACGCAGCTCTCAGCGCCCGCCGTTCACGTCAACGTTAACGTGAGACCGTGGTACGAGCCCAGCAACGTATCTCACTCTCGGCAGGAGCGACATGCATTTTTCATCGCAGTAGTGTCAAACGCGCGCTCCCGCGGCGTCAGCAGTTTCACAAGCCTCACAGCGGCTCCGCTCCTTCATCCTCGAAGGTTTTCTGAATTAATACTGCAGCTCGTGGAATCACTCAAAAGTTCACGTGATTCGCAGCCAAGAATGAACGTGTTTCTGCAGACCGAGCCCAGTAATAACCTCGCCCCACCGATGCCGCGTGCTGCTTCCTGACCGCACCAGTGTCAACGCGCGCTCCTGCGGCAATCCTGGCTTAAGGCATCGCATGAATGAGGGCGCACACACACGACTCTTCAGGGCACGTCGGCTCATACGTGCACCCGCTCCCCGAACATTTACACGGATCAGCTGCACACAACGTGAGCACAGCACATGAGCTGCATCCCGCAGCATCGGCAACCACACAACGATTCGCTTGCTCGGGGGCGTGCGTGTTTTCTTTCTCATTCAGCGCGCACCAGCTCACATCAGCATGCATGTGAGTTTCACAGCATAAATGCGTGCCCGCTTTATAACTTATAAACGAGTGGCAATGAGCGCACGCTCGAGACGGATGGGCGAACCGTTTTCATCCGGGGATTCACGCTGCAGTACAGCTCAAACCCCGGTGCGGAGGAACTCTGTGACGTTTTCTGTCATTTCTGAACAGATCTCGTCCCCTCTCGCAGAAGTTCAGGAAATTCTGTTTTAAATGTAATTTCTAGAGTCTCAGAAGGAGACGAAAACGCAAGGTCCCTCTCTCATCACTTCCTGGTCCCAACGAACTGGAAAGATGAGATTTATTCTAGATTTGTCAATTTTGAACTGTGAGAAACAACACTCCATTAATGTGCCCGAGTCGCTCTGCAGCCGCCGCACAGAGCAGGGAGGAGAATTCTGTTTATCTGGACACCTGCTGCTGCTGAGCAGTTTGTACAGACAGGTGGCAGCAGTGCAACTCACGTGAACCGGTTGAGTGTATCAGCTGTTTTCTGTCAGCAGACCTACGTCACACATGTCAGACTTCACAGAGGCACACACATTTAACAAGCTGTGGGGGCGCTGTGGTTCTCCACACAGCAGCTCATTTAAATGTTTTTGGAGTGTCGCACAGGTTCTTTGAATGTGACTCAACACTGACCTTGAGCTGCAGAATCATCAGGGTTTTTGATTCACACAGACAGCAAGTGACTGTTGCATACATACTGGCAGGAGATGTATGCGCTCAACCCATGTGCCACATTGTGAGAAAGATGCTGTGTGGGGCACACCCAATCTGCTCTCCATTGGAGTAGGGTATATCTCATGTATTCCGAACAAGGGGCGGATGTGATGTCCAAAGACGGTCTTTTGCGGCACGGGGACCTGGGACTTTCCACCCAGAGCTATGGCTCAGACACGGCAGAAATCCTGCCAGTACCTGTGGACGTGTAGTAACACGACAGAACGCTCAATGTCAACTATAATTATCGTGGAGCCACGGGACGATCCACCGCTGGGGTGGACGTGCCTGCTCACAGCCTGTAGTCGTAATGCTTTTTCACCTTCCTCTCTCCCTCTGATATCACGAATTTCTGAACCAAGCTCAGGAGGAGGGACTGGCAGCTCCTCTGCCCCAAGTACGTGAACGCATCATGGTTCCCAGGCCTACGACACTTTTTGTTATCAGGGCGCTCGTGGAACCTGCCGTGGAGGGAGGACGTTCTCCTCCAGGCGGGAGGAACGATCAGGAGTTAATCAGTATAGGCCAGCACCTGTGGTCTGGCCGCTGTGCAGATCTTTTTGAGAGGATGAATCTCTCTCAAGATGTAGTGCGTACGATTCAGGATTCACGTGCTACAACCACCACAGCACTGTTCACATCAAGTGGTCAGTTTTTCAGCACTGCGGTACAGAGAAAGGCGTAGAGGCCACTTCATGTGCACTGGACAACATGCTGTCATTTTCTTCAGCAGTCGATGGACAGAAATCCGGTGTCCAGCACGATTATCGTATGGCTGCAGCCATGTTTTCTTCTTGTCTCAAAGTTGTCAGAGACAGAACAACCTTTAATCATCCTCTGACGGAGCATTTTGACTCAGATTGAAATAGCAGCTGTGGGCCTGTTTGTGACACGAGAAAACGCTCAATGTCAATTATGGTTTTCTCTGAGCACACGAGACGAACCACCGCTTGGGGTGGATGCGTTTGCCCACAGCCCATGGCCCAAAATGCTTCTGTACGCGTTTCCCTCCACCTCCTCTGATTTTACGGTTCTTGAACAGAGTTCAGGAGGAGGGATTGACAGTTCTCCGGGTGGCCCCGAACGCGTGAGTGCACCATGGTTCCCAGTCCTGCAACGCCTGCTGTCGGGGTGCCCGTGGAAACTGCCGTGGAGGGAGGACACTCTCCTCCAGGCAGGAGGAGCGATCAGGAGTTACCCAGAAATAGGCCAGCACCTGTGGGTCTGGCCGCTGAACGGATCCGCTTAGAGAGGATGGGTCTCCCACAGGATGTAGTGCGCACAATTCTGTTTTCACGTGCTGCATCTACCACAGCGCTGTACAGATCAAAGCGGACAGCTTTTCAACGCTGGTGTACAGAGAAGGGTGTTAAGGCCACCTCGTGTCCATTAGGTGGCATGCTGTCCTTTCTGCAGCAGCTGATGGACAGAAATTTGACGTCCAGCACGATTAAAACGTACGCTGCAGCCATCTCTTCCTGCAACGAAAGGTTTCTGAGACAGAAAAGGTTTTTAATCATCTGCTGATGAAGTGTTTTCTAAAAGGTGTACAGAGACGCAGGCCTGTTTCACACCCACTTGTTCCACAGTGGGATTTAATACTGGTTCTGCAGGTCCTGATCAAAGCTCCATTTGAGTCTTTGGTTCAGGTTCCACTTAAATTCTTGTCTCTTTAAACAGCCCTGCTGCTGGCTTTAACATCCGCTAAGAGAGTGAGTGATTTATCTGCCCTCTCTGTCGCTCCGTCATGTCTCAGAATTCAGGCTGACGGCAGCTCAGCTGATTTAAGACCAAACCCAGCTTTTATGCTTAAAACATCACGAGTTCTTTTAAATCAAGAGCGATCTTGTCCCCCCCCCCCCACACACACACACACACACATACACACACACACACAGATCAGAAGAAGTGAAGAAGTAGCGTCTTTTCATCTCCTCTGTCCGGTGCAGGCGTTGACGTGTTACATAGCGTGCACAGCTGCAATGCGTCAACATTTGTTTGTACATTATAGAGATGCATCTGCTGGTCGCCCGTTATCCACCCAGCACTTGTCACACTGGCTGTGTGAGGCCATTTCTGAAGCCTACAGAGCATCAGATTTAGAGCCTCCTGTCAACCTCAGATCACTTGATCAGGGGTATGACATCTTCGACTGCGTTGCATAATGGTATGTCAATGCAGGACATTTTGCACTGCGGCCACGTGGTCAACACCCTGCTCATTCATTCGCTTTTATCTACGTGATGTGACGGCCCGTTCCATGACACATTCTGTCCTTAGTGTTTACAGAATGAATATTGTTGTTTCATGGAACTCTGTTTTACTCACATCTGTCTGCATGCATTACAGTGTGAGATGTTATCAGTCACAAGTTGTGATTGTTATTTTGGTTCTATTGTCACTAATCAGTTCATGACTATTGTTACCAATCAGTTCATTTGATTAATAATCAGCTCTCCTGTGTCTGTGTATGAATGGGTATTTGCTAGGCCGAGACTCGGACTGTCCCCTCTTTGATACAACTGGGGGTGCTTGGCATTGCGCCCCTATCGCGCGGCCCCCTGGTGGGGTGTGCCCTTGCCTGCCGGCGCGCTTGGGGCCCTTGGTGTCGGGGGCTGGGCGCTTGGGCGTGTGTTGGCTCGGCCTGGTGTCTGCCTGGTGGGGCTCGGGTCCTCTGGCCCTGTCAGGCCTTGGCCTGGGTGGTGTGAGTCCTCGGTGCCCGGGCCTGGACCTGCATTGGTGCGGCGGGTTCCGGCGGGGGCCTATGAGTTTGTCGCTGTTGGCCCCAGGGGGTCACTGTATGTGGTTGCTGGTGGGGATCTTCCGGTTCTCCCCTGTGGTCCGATCTGGGGGGTGGGTGAGAGGTTCGTCCTGTGTGGGTGGCCCTGGGGGCTCCGCGGTCGGGGTCCCTCCTGGGGTCTTGGGCTCTGGTCCCCCCTTTTTCGTCTGCCTCTGGTCTTGGGGGTTGGGTCTCTGCTGCTTCACAGTTACTATTTAAATGTTCTATTAGAGAAGCCTTATACACTTGTGCATGCTCACAACCACACACAAATAGATGCTTATGTAGGCTTTATATGTAGATATATAGATATGTATATGAATGTATATTCATGTGTGTGTATGTATGTATGTATATAGGCGTAGGTATGGGTATATATATTTATGGAAACTTACTGCAAAACCATGAATATTTTAAGTTCTTTATACATATGTATTTTGCTGCTGTGTTTTGTCATGTTCTTTGCAGGTGAACAGACAGTGGCCGGGTGTTTTGCCGTGTGCTCCCTTTGTGTATATTTCTTATATTTTGGAGTCTTACTTTGTCTTTTCTTTCTTTCTATCCTATTAAAAAAAAAAAAAAAACCTACACTAGATAATCACTAGAATAAATATTTCATAATAATGGTGTGGAGAGGATGGCTGTAAGGGGAGAAGGGAGGCCATCTAATGAAAAAAAAATAATAATAATCAGCTCTCCTGTTATTATTAATCTGTTCATACGGTTCAGCCGTAAACCGGTTGGTTCATGGCTCTTTTCAGCTTTTTTCCCTCCCCGTTGAAGTTTTCCGGGGCGTTCATGCATTCAGAACGCATAGTTACAGAACATGCGTCTGTGCATGGCACACATAATTACGCAATGCGTAATTACGCACATGGGGAGCTGAGTGACAAGACGTTTTTTGGGCAAGCTTCTGCTTCATACGGTGTTCGAATGGACCCAGTGAGGCGAGGACAACATCCGCTTCGCCCTTAACCCACTAAGCGACAGCCTTAAAGGGCGAAGCCTATACGAAATAGAACGTTGGTTACGTACTGTAACCCCAGATTCTATGGGTATAGGAGTAGCCCTTTAAGCGTCGGGCCTCACTGGCTCCTAAGTGGCTGAAGAAAAAGCTATTTTGGGAGCCTATTTCCCGCTCTTAACGTAATTTATATGGACCGGGTGGGGCCCACACAGCAGGTGGGCGTGGACTAAATTTTTCAGTGCGATGCTTTGCATATCGGGATAAACCCACTAAGCGACAGCCTTAAAGGGCTACGCCTATACTCATAGAATCTGGGGTTACAGTACGTAACCAACGCTCTACCAGTTGCGCCACCGTGCTGCCCGTGGTTGAATTAGTTTTCTCCAAATTGGGTGCATCCAATATCATAAAAAAAAAACCTTCCAAAGACTTTCAATCTGCCCAGTGGTTTATGAGATAATTTGCTAACAAGCAAACATGGTCAACTTCAAGAGTTAACTCACATTTCCTTTAGTTTTGAGTAAAGCTGATTTTAGAAAACCTGTTTCTTCACAAAAACGTGTACCCGTGTACATGTATCGAACTTGAGGCCTAAGGGCCAAATGCGGCCCATGTAAACACTTTATCTGGCCCCCAAGATGATGTTTTAAATGCAAGATTTTTTTATTTATTTTATTTTATTTTGCCTTACGATTTGCATACTTTCTTTAGTGCAGACTTCTCATGTTTGCCATTTTTTAATGTGGAGACAAACGATCAAATTTTGTTGAGGAACTTGCAACTAAGAAAATATGTCAGGTTTCTGACTTTAGTTAATATATTGTTTGAAGTTGGCCCTTCTTTGAACCAAGTTTTAAATGTTGGCTGCCTTTTTTAACAGGATTTCAAGACTTTACCTCCATGCAGCTCAGCCACAGCAGCCCGGGCAGCATCGTCCCTCCTGGAGACCACCACCAACCTGCAGCCTCTCTGTGCCAGCAGGCGGGACACTGCCCTCCCAACCCCCCTGGAGCCCCCACACACCACCGCCAGCCTGGACATCACCTTGCAGGACGGAGCAAGAAGACAGCTGTAACTTCACATGGTTACTTAGGGTTATTGTCACTCACTGTTACTGTCAAAAAAATTATAACCTTGTGTCATAAAGCCGGAGCTTACCTTCTTTTCTCTTATCACGCTTCGTTTGACAAATGTTCAAGTTGAAATAAGTTTACTGACCCGCAGAGCAGTCTAACAACAAGGACGCCGCCATGTTTTCTTAGTGTTGTTGCGATGCTCAGAAATGTCCAGTAGAGGGCGCCGCCATGTTTTCTGTTGTTGCGATGGTTCAATGTGTCCGCTAGATGGCGCCGCTGAGCCGCTCTGGTTTCTGCAGCAAACCGCAGTACATTTTCCGAATGCATTTTCTCTCGTTCTTTTGATATGCTGTACTATCCAGTTATCATAGTGCAATTTATTTTAAAATGTATTTTTTCTAATTATTACTTTAATTTGGAGGTCAAATGTTACAGGAATATGTCCACAGCAATTATTAAAACATTTACACAAACTGTAAATAAATGCACAAGTAAATAAGTCCACTTTTGGTTTATGTATCACTGTTCCTCTGTGTCCCCCATGAAACAATAACACCAGAAAAAGCATTATGGTCAGTACTGCACATAAAAATGAGTGATGATAAGAACTGGGGTCAGGGCTGTGTTTGCACCTGGGGCACTCATCAGGCTCAGAGCCCCTGCCACATTGATTTACTGAGGTTAAATAACATTCACAACCTTTGCCAGAGCAGAGCTCCAGCCCACAGCCGGGTGAATCATGACCACCAAGCAGCAGAGGTATACAAACACTAAAATAGCACAATGTGCTTTAAACATGAACTCTTTTACACAATATTAATTCAAAATTGGACGGTAGTAAGAAATCAGTCATTTATATTCGGAGCCCCCCCCCCCCGTCGCACCATACTCATCTAATAATCCTCGCCACTACAGCTACTCAAGCACCAACATTTCCCTTCTATTCAAAGAAAGCTTTTGGTTTCCTGGAAGAATTTTCTGCTGCCACATGTTTTCCATGATCTGCACAAACACTGTAAACACAATGTATATCATGAACATCTGACCCCCTGCGGCTCAGCTGCTGATCACTTTGTGCACTCATTGCTTTGAATATTTAACTACATTCTGTACGTCACATTTAGAAACACAACCCTGCAACTTACAGTTGTCAGGCAGCAACATTCCTGCAACACATTTAACTAACATCTATCAAAGCTCAAGGGTATTGAATTGGTATATGAAAGCATTTAAACTAAAAGCCTAGCATTCCTTGGAGGAATGCATATCACCCACATATTTCATGTCAGAGTTTTAAACTAAGGTCATCTTATAGTGAGAAATGTTTTTGTCAAATCGTGTAATCTTGTCACATTCAGAAAATGTGTTAACTCTTAGCTATTACCATGTTAAATCTTAAGATAAGATAGAACTTTATTGATCCCGCAGGAAATTCTTGTGCATTTCAGTATAAAGGAACATACACAAGATATTTAAAATAACAGAGAATATAAAAATACCAAAAATTAGGTTCTAAATAGGTCAGGTGCAGTACATGTGTGAAGTTTTAATGTTTTAATGTGAAAACAATAAAGTGTTTATTGTACTGCAGGATTAATTTTATTGTCCTTTGTGCAGAAAGGGGGAGGAGCTGAAAAGCTTGATAGCCACATGGAGGAAGGACTTCTTGTGGTGTTCTGTGGAGCACCTCGGTGGTCTCAGTCTAGGACTGACGGTGCTGCAGTAAGAGTGTCATGCGGGGGGTGGGGGGTTGACGTGTTGTTCAGGATCTGGAGCAGTTTCCTCAGCATCCTCTGCTCAGAGACCTCTGTCAGAGACTGTAGGTCCACTCCCAGAACTGAGCCAGCTCTCTTCATGAGTTTATAGAGTCTGTTGGCATCAGCTTTCTTCACCCTGCTGCCCCAGCACACCACAGCGTAGAAGAAGATGCTGGAGACCACCAAGTGGTAAAACATCTGCAGCATGGTCCTGCAGATGTTTAAGGACCTGAGTCTCCTCAGAAGAAAAAGGTGACTCTGCCCTTTCTTGTAGAGGACGTTGGTGTTAGCTGTCCAGTCCAGTTTATTGTTTAGGTGGACACCCAGGTACTTGTATCAGTCCAGTGTCCACCTTAGTACCCTTGATGATGATGGGGTTGTGGAGGCTGGTCTTCTTTCTGTTGTAGGGTTTTTGGGTTATGTCCTGTCTTGGTTTGTTTCCTCATGTTTCCAGTCAGCCCTCCCTCCTTGTCTCACCTGTGTCTAATGTTAATCACCGCAGGTGTCTGTCATTGTCCCAGTCAGTGTTGTGTATATATTCAGTTCCCTTGTGTCTTGTCTTTGTCTCCAGATTATCCTTATGGTGTGTGTTTCTGCCTTCCGTCCTGTGTCCTGTTATCAGTAAGTAAGCTGCCCAGTCAGCCTTTGCTTTGTTGTTGTATAATAAATATTTTGATTTTCCACGAGCCTCCAGTCATCCTCCTGCAATTGGGTTCAACACTCCTAACGGCAGAATGTGACACTTGCAGTCCACCTGCAGTCCACCTGCAGCTCTTTAGTTTTTCCAACGTTGACTTGTAGGTAGTTATGTCCACACCACTCCACAAAGCTGTCCACCACACCTCTGTATTCAGCTTCCTGGTCACCAGTAATGCAGCCCACAACAGCAGAGTCATCCAAGAACTTCTGTAGATGGCAGGATTGTGAGTTGTACCTGAAGTCCGAGGTGTAGAGGGTGAACAGAAATGGCAAGATCGTCCCGAGGAGCCCCTGTACTGCTCAGTATGGTGTTCTGCTGCAGCCTCACATAATGTGGCCGACCTGTGATGTAGTCTCTGATCCAGGTGACCAGCGAGTCATTCACCTGCATGTCCAGGAGTTTACTGCAGAGCAGGTCTGATGCTGTTAAAAGCACTGGAAAAGTCAAAGAACATGACTCTTACAGTGCTGCATGCCCTGTCCAGGTGTGTAGGCTCTGTGCAGGTAGATAATAGTGTTGTCAACTCCAATGTGTGGCTGGTATGCAAACTGTAGAGGGTCCAGGTTCAACCTTTTATTTAGACAGGTTAATCCCATTGAGCCTCAGGGACTCATTTACAAGAGAGTCCTGATTTATTTAATAAAGAGTGAGGACAACAGGCATACAAAATAATAAAAATTGTTATTTTACAAATTAAAATAAAATGGTTACCAAAAGGGCAGTCAAAAGGAAAAAGTAGTGAAAACAAACAGATTATAAGGCAGTGTGGGAAAACTAAAAACAGTAAATGTCTGCATTGGTTTTTGCCAGGAACTTAACAGATGTTTAAAGCCACTTAAAGGTCAAGGTCGAGAGCTTCAGATCTTTTTGCAAGATATTCCAGGAAACGGGAGTGGAGTAAGAGAAAGCCCTTTGGCCACGTTCAGTCCGCACTGAGGGAACACTGCAGGTAATAATGTCCTGAGAGTGCACGCTGTAGCTGCACTCACACAGAGACATGTAGGAGGAGATGTATGAAGGCAACAGACCAAGAAGTGATTTAACAATGAAAATGTACCAGTGAGAGAGTCTGCGTAAAGTTAATCATGTCCAGTTAACCAGTGAATACAGGGTACAGTGTTGAGTACGATAATCACAGCCAGTTATGAATCTTAGTGCACCGTGATAGACAGCATCCAACATCTGCAGGGTTCTTGTAGGAACGTTCATGTAAATAATGTCACTGTAATCAATGGAAGGAATGAAAGTCGCAGTTACGAGATGTTTCCTAGCATTCATAGTTAGACAGGATGTGTTTCTGACAGAGACCCAGTTTAACTTTCAGTTTCTTTACTAGGTTTTCCACGTGAAGCTTAAAAGAGAGATGCGAGTCGACCAAGATACTCAAATATTTATAGGAATCGACAAACTCAATAGGGACTTAAGGATAAAATCAGAGGAAGAACTGATGGGACCGACTTCCTGTTTGACAAAAGTGTCCCTTTGGTTTTATTGGCATTTAGGACAAGTTTGAGGAGGAACAAATCAAACTGGATGATGTCAAATGTGGATTGCAAAAACTGGAAAGCCTTAGCAACGGTTTTAGCTTGGCAATAAATAACTGTCTCATCAGCATAGAAATGTAAGGATGCATCCGGGATGCTCTGAACTACATTATGTATGTAGATTGTAAAGAGGGTGGGTCCTAAGACTGAGCCTTGTGGTACACCATTGCTGACTGTTAAATAACTTGAGGAAATACCATTGTGTTGAACACATTGCCTCCGATCTGAGAGATAGTTAGAGAACCAACCAATAGTATGATCTGAGAAACCAATTTCTGAGAGCTTATGACACAAGATGTTATGATCCACCGTGTCAAACACTTTAGACCGGTTTAAGAAAAGTGCAGCACAATAATCCTTTGCATGCAGTGCTTCAACAACGTCATTAAGAACCTTCAGTGAAGCAGTCGTTGTGCTGTGTTGTTTCTTGAAAGCAGATTGATGGAGAGGTAAAATGCTAAATGAGTCCAGGTAATTCTTGATTTGAGAGTTTTTCAGTTTTTCTAGAACCTTGGCTAAAATGCAGAGTTTAGAGATTGATCGATAGTTGTTCAGTGAGGTGGGGTCACCTTCGTTCAGCAAAGGAAGAACAAAGGCCGTTTTCCAAGCGTCTGGGATAGAGTTTTGACTTATGGAGAGATTAAAGATGTGGGACACCGGTACTGCGATGAGATGAGCGGCCAGCCTTAAGAAATAAGGTGGAAATTCATCTGGTCCTGCAGATTTTTTAGTTTAGACCTTTTAACAGTTTATTAACCTCACTAAATGAGAAAGGGGAAAAGAGAAAAGGTGTGGTTTACTGAAGATTGACCTGTAGGTGAGATATTGTTTGTAGAAGTTTGATTTTTAGGGGAAGTGGCTGATTTTCCATTAGTAACTGTGTCAAATAAAGAACTGTTTGTTGAAACAGTTCAGGATCTTGTGCTTATTTGACACAGGAACAGAGTATGTAAGAGTTCCACCA